ATTCTGCACAAAGACTTAAACACACAGCGCAACCCGCGGATCAGAATCAGTTAGATGTCGCCTTTCTCACAGTCGGGGCTGAAAGCCGACAGCTCGCTGATTCTGATCTGTCTGCGGGTCTGCGCTTTGTGTTCACGCCCTTTTTGCGCTGATTCTAAAGCTGTTAGTTTGATCTCTCTCCAAACAATATTGACGAACCAGCAGCAAAAGAAGATCCAAACTACGCTTCACATAAACATCGTCATGAATTCACTCCACATGCCACTGGTCTCACTGCCCACCATTCCTTAACACAACCAAAGCTGAGCCCCCAGCAGGCCCTGGTTACTATTCACAGAGGGCAAAGCAATTTTTTGGAACATTTAAAAAAGCTTTTTACTACTATAAAGCTGGGATTTACTTGTTTTTGGACAGGAAGAAAGACTACAGAGTGGGGTTTTTGGCACTTGCTTGTTTCATTTTTCAGACCTGAATGTTTGCAGCTAGATCAGCTAATCTAACAGAAACATTAAGTTAAAATGCCAATGTTCCCATCACAGTCAGAAGCTTCTCTCTTTCTTTTAGTTGTTGATCATCCCGGCTCTGACATCATTGAACGTCTGACAGAGAAAAAAAGTCAAAAACATCAAGAGGCTCTCAAACAGCTGGATTCAGACCTGAGCCAGCTGTCTCAGGTACAATGCATTGTAGTTACACTGCACCTGAGGGCAATACATGCTGTGGTGCCACAATACATACTCTGTGTGAAATTATTGGCCACTGTCTGTCATTGTGTCAGGTGTGTGAGACTCAGGTAAAGGCCATCAGTCAGGAGCTATTGTCCAGTCTGCAGGAGGTGGATCTCAGATTGGACACCCTGAACGTCAGAATGAATCGGCTGGAAGATCTGGAAGATGTCAGTATGCAGGTACACATGACATAAAGTTTAGAAGATCAAATACAGTTTTAAACCTGCAGCCTGATGAAGCTTGTGATTTTTTTTAAAACTCCCCAAACCTTCAGAATAATTAGACTTGGTGTGGTTGGTGAAGTGTGAAAATAATATCTTATGGGCTGGAGAAATGTGATTGGTTTTGAGAGTGTTAATTTCATGTGTGTGCAGGAGATCCACGGTCTTTGGAAGGAGGTAGAGGAAGACGTGAAGCTGAAGAAGACCACTATCATAGAACTTAACCTCAAACTGACTGAAACTGAAAAACAACGTACTGACCAGGTCAGACTGAGCGTCACTGACACTTTTAAAATTTTACCCAAAGAAACCATCTGACACCCACAGTCAATGGTTGAACAATAGAGGGCAGTACTGTACAGTTGTGGTCAGAAGTATACTTAAAATCTTCATAATACATTTCTTTAAACTATTTTTTTCCTATGGTGGAATGACTATACAACAGCTTTGATGTCTTAAAAACAGGAATTGGGTGCACAAGTTTAAATTTGTTTTGGATTTTAACTAATCCAAACATAGACACAAGTATGGATACAAGCTTAAATATATACATAGACTCACTTAAGTCTTTTAATAAGTACTGCTGAAGGTTCTACATTTACAGCCTTGTAAAGAAGTGGTTGATCTATGAATTGTACATTTACACAAGTTGGGAAGGTCTCTTGGAGTCATTGGAGCACATATTAAGATGATCAGTTCAAACAATTGTTCAGATGTGTCACCACTTTAGAAGGTCTGGAAGAAGACCCAAACTATCACCCTGAAACAAGAGGAAAATGATTTAAAACCGGGTTTTACATCTTCATGGAATAATAGAGTGCTGATCACGAAAGAAGGCCCTGCTCTTTAACAGACGCTTTTAATCTTGGCTGAAATTTGCAGCTGCTCATGTGGAGGAGCCAAATGTCCCCAAGAGAAAGGTTTTATGGTCAGAGACAAAGATTGAACTATTTGGCCACGATGGCATGATGAGTAGTAAAAGTGAGGCTTTCAATCCAAAGAACACTTTATCAGCTGTCATTGATAGTGGTGGTAGTTTGATTCTCTGGGGCTGGTTTGCCCTCACTGGTACTGGTACACAAAGTGGATAGAATAATAGAACAGCCAGTGTGTATACTGCTGAGCAGCTGTGGAGAAAAACCAAACCAAAATTCAAACTTGTGCACCACTTCCTGTTTGTTTAAGACATTAAAGATGCACATGCTGTATAATCATTCTGGAAAAAGAGCAGTTCAAAGAAATCATTATAACCCCAAAACATTCGTGCCCATCATGCATGTATGTAAGCGTCTGACCACAACCATGGGTCTTTCAGCCACAGGTAGGTGGGCTCATTTCTTGGGGGGATGAGTCCACCTACTTGTTGCAGAGTGGAAACAAAACAGGAGCTCAGAGTGTTAGCACTGCCCAGAAAATTATTTGATGCCTCCTTCCAACTCTGGAGGGCCTACATAGTTTCAACTGCCTTAGAAAGGCTAATGATATGATAAGGGATCAGTAAGATCAGTCGATGTATTTTTCTTTTTCTCATAGATCAGAGCTATTATCAGGAAGTACTACCGTGTGTTGGAGCAGATCAGTTTCCTGCATCCATCTGACATCCACAGGCTAATCCACACTGAAGCTACAGTAAGTCACTGTGACCTCTCATCTGACCTCTAACCTACCTAAAATGATAAATTGCACTTCTATATCTCTGTTTGTCTCAGATGCTGAATCAGACTCTGCTAGCAAACCGTTGCAGCATTGCCCGACTGCTGCTGCTCCTCCAGGAGGAAAATCTACATAAGGAGTCAATCCTTCGTCAGCACTGGGAGGACTGTCTGAGTCACTGGAGAAGGAAAAGAGTCCACAGAATTGTAGATCAGTTCAGGTGAGTGGAGCACCATGTTATACATTGATGTGCGTAAAAGAAGCCTAAAAGCAGCTTAAAAGATTCAGGATTAGCTTGTTCAACACTCTAATCCACTTTGGTCATTTTCCCAAAGTCAGAAGAGAATTAGATTGGAATTGCTGAATTTGGTAATCCAAAATAACTCCTCTTATGACTCTAGAGGTCATTAACTACAGAATATATCAATAATGGCAGGGCACGACGATTCTCCTCAGCAAAGCAAGAGTTCCTGTTAGGGGAGGACTGGGCAAAAAGTGGCTGACAATATTAAATTTAACTTATTATAAATACAGGGCAGTCTGGGTAATCAGATACCAGAACATTTTCCGTAATTTCATCATGAAGAAAACTGAGAGACTGTGCGACATTTTAGGGTTAAATGTTTAAATAACTACACTGTCATCCATTCCATCCATTCATCCATCCATCCTTTATATCCAGAGATATCATTTCTCCAGCGTGTCCTGAGTCTGCCCTGCAGCCTCTTTACAGTGGGATGTGCCCAGATCACTTCACCCATGTAGACTGGTTGGGCAAACTCCCACATAGCTCCTTAAGATGATCAAGAGTTGGTTGTATGTTCTGGGTCCAGGATGAAAACCACATTGTTCCTCCTGTATCAGAGAATTGACAAATGAATGAACTTTCCTTTCCAGTGCCCTGGCATAGACCTTTCCAGAGAGGCTGATGAGTATTATCCCCCCGTAGTTAGAGCACACCCTCCAGTCCCCCTTCTCAAAGATGGGAATCACAACCACAGTCTGCCGATCCATAGGCATGGCCCCAGATCTCCACGCAATGTTGCAGGTGCATGTCAACCAAGACAGCCCTACAACATCCAAAGCCTTGTCCTGATTCTTAATTTGAGGTGAAGACAAACGACTGCCAAGTCCCAGTAAGATGCGTCAAACGGTGATTTTATTAACATATGCATACATATGGGAAGTCGAGCACGAACCTCACACAGCTTCGATCTTCCCAGAACAATACATTGGGTGTCATATATATACTAAAATAGTGCGTCACAAGCAGATAGTCAACAAGCATAAGTTCCAGTAAGTTTCCAGAGATCCTAGGACATATTCTAAAAAGAGCATTTCCTTCCTTTGTTCCTTCACTATCACCAGATGCATCCTGTTATTTCACTTCAGAAACAAATAAACATGTAAGAACTAAAGGTGAACTTCATCCACCATGGGCTAAGGCCTGACCACCGGACACTCTTCTTACAGCTCTGTCTGGAGGCCTGGCTACAGGGTTGGGCAACCCTACACGGTACACTGGTACCTTGATTTTCTTCTGTCCATAGGTGTTGACTGAATCACTCTTTATTTGGCCACTCACCAAGGACCAATTTGCCTAACATTTGTCTAACAAGGACACTATCTCAAACTGACATTGAGGTAATGTCTGCACCTTTAATTTTTTAACTCCCGGACCCTGGACAAGTTGGTTGGCTTTTATTTCCTAATATTTTTCTATATTTGTGGTCAGTTTCAGAACTGCTGTGACACTCAGTCCTACAACTGAAAGATCAGGCATCACTCCAAATTGTATACCATGGTACGTTTTTGAACTGGCTGATAATCAGTAGTATTTGTGTCGTAGAGGTTTCTGCAGCAGGAATGAGGATCAGCAGCTGGCCTCAGTTCAGCAGATAAAACTAACCCAGCAAGATCTGACTGAACGGCGCCGTGACATCATTAACAAGATCAGGTAAGATCAGGTAAAAACAAACAAACAAAAATCATAATCTTTTCATTGCCTGGAGATTCAGTCAGTCCAGTTTCAGTGTAATTTCTTTTGTTTTTACCCCTTGTTGTTCTTGTCAAGTCACATATTCTCTTTGTGTTTCAGCTCTCTGGTCCCACCCACATGCTCCAAAGCTTTGGTGTCTGATTGGTTTGACCAACTAACAGATGTCAATCAGCAAATTGGTAACTGTCCTCTGGAGTCACTACTACTGATACAGTATGAGTTTCACTTTACAAACTTAAATCACTATTTGAACAGCAGAAAACATCACTGTATCACCTCCATGAAGCAGCTATGTTACCAAGTCATCCAAATCATCTTTTTAAAAGTTTAATTTGATCTGATGAGGATTTGTGAGTGTCACCTATAGATCTGTTATCCTGCTTGTGGTAAATTGGCAGAAGCACAAGTCTGAGTTATACTATGGTGATGATAAATGTAGGTTTGTATTTGTGTGTTCAGAGCATTTCCACACTGAGCTACTCCATCAGCTGCATTGCTGCTTTGAACAGACATGGCAGAATCGGCTGGCGGAGGTGGAGCGCTGTAAGGTAAATGCGTTTGGTTAGCTCTGATGTAGCAGCTTTCAAATACCTTTAATTAATAGCTGACTGCTGTCTGCAGCTACATCACCGTAGCAATGATTACATTCCAGCATACAGGCCTGTAATTTTAACCTGTCATCCTACAGGAAGTGCTCTCATCTTTGGAATTGTCAGAAGAGGAAGTGAATGACATCATCAACTCACAGCTTCTCACAGTGATTGGAGCACAGCAGAGTCAGGATGAAGAGCAGCTGGCCGCTTTAGATGTCAGTCACGTAAACCTGCCTCAGACTGTTTCTGTGCACTGTATCAGAGCATTAACGTGTTCATGCTTTCTGCTTGTCTGTCTGCAGGTGTGCAGTGACTCTGTGGCCCGTCATGCTTTCAGTCTAAGTAGGAGTGTATTTGTTGTCATGCGAGCAGCAGCATTGCTGTGGGAGACACATTGTCAAAGATTAGAGAGGAGAGATGAAAAACTACAACAAGACCTGAATGATCTCAGATGCTCACAGCAGCAGCACTTACAAGTGAGTTGCAATAAAACACAAGCAGGTAAGTCAAATAAAAACAACAAACACAGGCAAGTAGCTCACATACAGTCACTGTAAAATACCGCGGACTGACTGACGGATACAAAAATTGATCTTTATGGAAGATTTGCGTTCTATTATATCTTACAAAAAACTCTGTAAAAAAATAAAAACTAAACAAACAAAACAATAAAAGGATGCTTGGACACTGCTAGCATAATGGACAGGTTTTTGACGGGGCTCCCACACAAACGCAAAGCAGGAGATGAAGCATCGCTAAATATGTTTCCAAACCAACTTCCTTCCAAGCCAAAGACTAGAAAATATGGTGAAGCATATCTTCCCTTTGGCTTCACCTGCACGAGTGCCGAGGTAGGTCTCCCCTGCAGAATTGGTTTTCCCTGCGCTGGGAGCAGGCGCCGGACTCTCCAAATCACGGACAAACAGTATCCCACATTCTTGATTTTTAGTTCACAAACTTATGATAACTAACTACTCCTGACATTTTGGAGATGTTAGCTCTTTATACAGTAAAGTTACAGTGGGATACAAATAATATCAGGCTGATCCTGCCATAATTTGCTCCCCCTGTCCAAATCACGGACAAACAGTATCCCACAGTTGTTTATGTTTTTGAACCCATTTTGCACAGAGAGGCATTTTTTGAAAAATGTATTGATAGCAATGTTGAATATTATTACCCAGGAAAAAAACAACTACACGTAAAATAATTCCACCATGATGCCTCTGCCTTTCTAAATGGAGGGACAGTAACTGCGTGTGTATATGTAAGCGTGTAAAACCTGAAGATAGTAAGATTTACAGTATTTTCTCTCTATCTGCAATTAATCTCATGTAAACACAAAAAGTAAGCAGAAAAAGTTTGGGAACCACTGGTCTAATATAAGAATTTATTTGATGATCAGAAACGTGTAATTGTGACAAATATGAAGAAAAAACCCCCCTAAGAAATCAGGAAGCGGGCAAAGTTTTTAATAGCACCTTAAAGGACTCATGTTAACAAATTACATACAGGTAAGTCACCGTCACAGGTCGACGTGGTCGTCACACTTTTACCTGAGAGAGAGCACGACAGGTTCCCTTTTCCAACATGCTTGCTCTTATTCTATCAGAAACGGAAGATGCAAATGGATGACCTGTTAGGAGGACTCCGTCAAGAGAGCAGTGAGGATGCTCTGAAGACGTCTCTGGACAAAACTATCGGTTACTTGCAGCAGATTAAGCACAGGTACTACAGGGTGCCAGCTAAGGCTAATCCCAAAGCAAATTCAAATAAAAGTTCATTTTCTCTCCAATTTATTACAAATATTGAAATTCACAACATCCCCACCCAGTTTGTTAGCATTTTGCCTTGGACCATAGCAGGGAAGCAATGTCTGTACAGTTCCCCAGGGAACAATCAATCACATCATGAAAACTCAAAGCTTGGCTGACCAACTCTGATTATTTAACATGATCATTTGTCTGATTGGCTGGAGGCGAACACAGCCACAACTTTAACTGTAAAGAGGAGAGAGGTTGTGTGGGCAGGAAGAAAGGTGAATTTGAATAAAAGGTCCTAATTTTCAGTGTGTGTGTGTGTGTGTGTGTGTGTGTGTGTGTGCAGTTGCAATCAATTTGTCATTGATCAATGGACCCTGTTGAATCTTCACCCGTCGTGCTGTTTGGAGGAGCTTGTCTCCTACAGCAGGAACCTCAGCTCCTTCTACCACCTGAGTCACACCTACCAACCGGTAACCATAGCAGACAGACCTCACTCACTACATGTAGCCGGTAACCACAGAAACACAATTACAGTGAAGCCTGAAATAGTTTGCATCTGAACACATCTGA